GAAAGAATCTGACTCTGGGGATGCGAGCCACGTGAAAATTTTAATATGACAAGGAGAAAATATGAGTTTAATGTACTGAAGTCCAAAGCTTCTGTAAACTAGTGGACTGCTGAATCAGCTGCTAAACAAAAATCTTCATTTCATTTCACCAGTGTTAGTCTACTCCTCTTTTTTATCTGGGTATTCACGCTTCCTAGGAAGTGCCTGCTTTGTGCTAACAAAAGGCCTATATCCTCTATCAGGCTTCAGAAGAGACCTAGCCCTTTCCTATCTACTGATCAGAAATCCAATAAAAATCTCTACATGTTAATCCCAAGATACTACTTTACAGTTCCTATAATGTTAAATTTAATTCCCTAGCTTTAAAATGCATAAGCTATCTCCTTATTGACTAAGGCACACTTTGTCACAATTTGGGGTCTGATTACCCCTATATTGGGAATAAGGCAATAAATATGATTATCAAAGTGCTCATACAGTTCTGGAAATAACTTGGTGTTTCCCTATGTAATTAGGATGTCAACTGTTACAGCTAGCAGCGTAGATAAGCTGAGACCCATATTCCAGGGGATTTACCCTCTGCAAGTGGAGTGGTTGGAAAAAGAGATAACCTCTGCAGGCAAATTAATTCATAACCTGTTCCACTGAAGCATCTGAACCCGGCACTGATTAGAGGTAAGGTACTAATGGAGACAGACCAGCAGTCTGCTCAGGTACGACTGTCCTGTTCCACAGGGACTCATCCTCACTGAGCTCCTGGCAGATAGAAATCTACAGGACTCATGCTATATCTAAAAACACGAGGCCCAATCTGAGTTCCATTGCCAGTGGAAGGATGCCCACTGACAAGAAGGGGAGTTGGCCCAGCCCTCAAAAAAATAACATCTGGTCCTCAGGATACCCCTGCTTGAGGGTCATTCGTTAAAGCTGCGCTGCAGAATGGCATCTTCACATCTCCACTAATTCCCCCGCTTCCGCAGCACACTGTGCAAGATGGCCTTTTGCTTGTGGTAGTTTAGACTCAAGAATGCACCTTCTTTACAAGGTAAGGAAAGAATGGAAGCACCATAAGTGATTCAGGCCTAAAAGGAAAGTGAGACTTACAGGTACCTGACTTGATAGACTCAGGTTTGCAGCAGCTGACTTCTTCTTGCTGTTGGTACTATTTGCGTTGTTCCCAGCACTGCTGTTGGAAGTGCTGCTGGTAGAGTTTTTCCTTTTTCTCCGTTTGGTTGTTGGTTGCCTTGTGGGTTCTGCTGCAATAAAATGGTAAGAAGGAAAGCAAACGGCAGATATTGTAAAGCGTGTACTAAAATGATCCATAAGCAGAAGTGCTAAAGTGTTTTTTCATCTAGTTTTAAATTCCTATGTTTAGTAGTAGTAGTAGTCGTAGTAGATTTAACATACGAATCGTAGCCTAATATTTGGACCCAAACCAATGGAATCTGCTTTCAATTTTGTATAAGAGACTACTGAACTTTATTCTCCAAGTATTATCTATAAAGATATTTGAAAGCATTTTATCAAGGGGAGTATCATGATGTTCAAACTGACTGCATAACTTGCTGGTCACACAGCAAGTAACAGTTAGTGCTAAACAAAAATCCAGGTCTTATTCTGATGTAGTGTACAGTCTCAACAGACCCAGCCAGGGCCAAAGGCTAAAGGCAGCTTTCTACCCTACTGCTGCCATCGATACAGCATGTGAGCAACTACCATTTCAGTTCCTCTACCTCTGATGTGGGCTTCATCTTTAAAACTGCCACTCCCAAGGGAACACGTTAGAGAATACTGAACACCACTTCTCTGCGAGTCTTCCAAACTCAGACTGAATCAGGACAATTACATAACTTTTCTTAAATGGAAAAGAACAGAGGGGCCATTGTACTTTTCAAAATTTGGCCTGGGCACCCATGTGAATAGTCTTAGATATACAAATCCTTAATAATCTGAAAAAAGAGACAATCATTATTTTTAGGTGTAAGAGGAAGGAGATTAGGTCCAGGCCTGTAAATAACATTATATTAGTCTCAAAGACAATTAATTATGAATTGTAGCTGTAATTTCAGAGTCACAGCAGGAAGCTGAATTACACAAATGATGAATTCTAATGGAGCCCCAGTATGCATTTTGCATTCCATCTACACATATTTTTGTACTAAATTATATCCTAGTCACAGTGAAACCATCTGAATGTGCACATCTATAAATCAGTTGGGTCAGAATGAAATCATAAACCATCAGAATCATTTTCAGGCTTACTTTTGGAACAGTGCTAATTCTTATTACTTTCTTTCGTAAGTAAATTTGCAGTAAATTTTCCCATTGTTTCTATATTAATTTAACTATAAAATAAGCAAAATACTGGAAATGAAACATACCTGGTGGGGCCACCATTCTCTGCCATTTTTGAAACAAGCAAGTCTTCAAGCAGTCTCGAGGACTTAGATTGTAAGTTTTATGTCTTGACATCAGTTCCTGCATTGGCTCCAGTATTACACACAACTGAAAGAAAAAGTCAGAGTAGAATTATTTAATCTAAGCAAAGACTCGGTTGATCAGTATTTACATAGCTGGAAAGTATATTCTTGGCTTTTTTCTACCGTTGCTAAGAGTATGCCTTGTACAGCTCAGTTTAATCTGCACTGGGATTGCAGGATCAAAAGTCCGAATCGAGAAATCTTTTGCTCACTATTTGCTATCTTAAGTATTTTTTAAAAAAATCAGATAAACTTCAACTCTGGTCTTTCAGATTACAGAGATTTCAGAAGAGTAGAAAATTTTCATGCTTGATTGCCAAAGCTGCAAAGATGAATTAATTGCTGCTGCCCATAGCAGATTGTCATTCCCATACAGCAAAATGTACACACAGTCATCTTCTGACCTGCTGCACTCCACAGTGAAGACTTCCCATAAATAAGGGTTGTAAACATGTTCTTTCATCTTGCAATTGCATGCAAAATAATTCAGATAATTTTGTTCCTTTCTTGTTAAGAGGACTATACATTCTCGTCCCATCAGATGAATGACATGTCCGAGAAAAAAGAGAAGTGTTTTATTTTCTTTTTCATCTTGAATGCTTTATTATGTCAAAGCTGGAGATCTCTGAAAACATGGAATTGCAAGCAAACACCTTTTTTAAATACAGTCTTTTTAAAAAATTGATATTTTTTAAATAAGATAAATAAAAGAGAATAGATATAAAATATAAAAAAAATAAAATAAATAGTTATTTTCTATCTGTTCACTTAATAATTAAACTCACTGTTCACTGCCTTTTGCTCTTGTTAGCACAGCAGATCTAGCATAAAGAACACAGTGAGCTGGTTTCTATTCCCTCCTGTTTATCACCACAGAATCATTTCCAGTCAGCTAAACCTTATGCAAAGCCACAGAAGACTTGCACACATGCAATTGAGGGCTTACTCTTGCTTGCAGGATCCTTGGTTTTTGATCATCCTGCATGAGAAGAAAAAATCCAGGTTGACCCCTAGGTTCCACCTGAAATTTGCAGGGCTGGCACATAGGAGGAAAAGGTTCCTTACTTGCCAACTAGCACATTTGATAAGGAAATTGCTGACACAGAATAAACATGGAGGCTGCATGCCATTTTTAGAGTCACTTTTCAAAGCAGAACTGCATTTAGAAGTAGGGGAAGGTTTGGCTTCTTTTTACTAACAGAAGGCAGCAAGTTGGTCAAACTATTAGAAGTTGGAAAGGCAACTGCAGAAAGGCATAACTTAAGCTGAGTCTTGTTGTGCGTTATTTACTTAATTTTAGCAAGTCTTACTGAAGGAGCATCTTAGATTTACTTCAGCAGGCGATGTTTTCCTTCCATGTTTTTACAAATATATAAGACATGAGGTGAACTCTTCTCTCTGGGCTGCAGAGCTGATCAATGTTTGCTCCATTCTCCCCATGTGCACCCCACTCTTGTTCATATAAATGGAGATGCAAAGTATGCAGGGGAAACAGCTGAAAGGGAGCTGCCATGAGCACCAAGAGATTAATTCAGTGTTTAAATATTATTGTGTATTGGCATTGCCTTTTGATGAGCCTTTCATTAACAGCAGTTAAAATAGAGATAATGTAAAGCTGCAGGGAGAATGAAGAGCTTCAGTATGAGGAATTATTTTTTTCCAACTGCAGAAATTGAATCTGCAGTTGCCTCATTGACTTTTTTCTTACATAGACTTTATACATATATTTTTGTAGATAAATATCTGCAAGGTAATCTAATAGACGGAGAGCTGCTATCTGATTGTGCACTTTGGGCTCAGATTTTCCTCCGGTTCAATATTCTGGGAGAAATTAAGAGCATCAGGTCTTAAAGTACGTGCAGGATTCTGTTTATGCTGTGAAAGAGGTGTTGTATTTTGAGTTCTCATTCAATTTATTCTGAAACCTGCAGGCACTTGCTCAGGTTTTGTGTGCGTGTGTGCGTGTGTGTGTGTGTGTGTAAGAGAGAGAGAGAGGGGGGGAGAGAGAGAAAGAGAACCATGATCATAATCGACACCATTGCTTTGGTTCTCACAAGTCTGGGTTTCTGGCAGGGCTGCCTAAATTGTCTCTTTGTGAGTAGATAGTAAATAGCATGAGAAAGATAAGTGTGATAACTCTTAAGAAAATAGTCAGCCTGGGCAGAGCACTACGCTCACATAGCTCTTCTGCTGCTGGGACTAAAAGTATGTAAATATACATGTAGGGTCTTCCAAGATTTCCTTAGGGACACTTTATTCATGACACATTTACTCCTCCGTATATATTTATTGTTGGCAACAAAGAGAATGTTTCTTCTTTGTCATCTGGCAAAGATGTTTCCTATTGTGCACTAACCGTAATGTGCACTCAGAACTACGCAGTCCCTGCTGTCTGTAGATATCTTGACTGCTAATCCTGTCTATAATCTCTTTCACTTCACATGCAAGATTAAAACTGGATACGGACTTGAAATGTAGCAATGCCTGACTGATCTCAGATTTTGTGACTCAAAATGACACGCGCCAGGACCCCTACACTGGGACAAGGGACGGTCTCATCTCCTGGACATTTGGGAGCTGCATGGACTTGTGTGAACTCCTCTTCTGGTTCTGGGACTGGGGAATTCTCAACCGTTTTCTCCCTCTAAAGTCTGCAAATTGTTAAGGTCAGCTTTGGATGCCTGGCTAATAGAAGAGCATGGCACTCTATAGTGACATGTCCACTTTAAACATGTCTAGCTCATGTGAACAGGGCACAAATGTAAAACAAATTGGATTAATGATGATTGATATTAATTCTCGCAGTCTTTTTCAGTTACCTTTGAGACCTAGTTGAAATCTAAAGTGACTCAAAACCAAATCCCTGAAAGAGGAAAAGATCGTGGTCCAATTATCTTATGTCTGAGGAACCTGCCAGTTATGATGAGTAGCTTGGTTTTCGCAAAAAGCTAGATTAAAAATGTGGGGATAGGATGCATTTAAGAGCTAGGTTGGCCAAAACCACCTGCCATCTTTAACTGCTAGTAACTGGCAGGCTGGTTTGACTGCATCATTTTACAAAGTGACTTCTTAAAACAAAGCTAACAAAATGTTTTACATACTCCTACATTCAGTGGCGTATAGAAGAAGCCCGAGGCTTAGACTGCCTATTCCCCACAGATCACCTATTCTCACTCTGTGAGATTCCTTTTCAAAACATCTACTTTAACATTTTTTCAAGCATTGGATAATATTAAAATGTACGAATCTTTACTGTAGTACTACAATAATAATATTTGGAACAGCAACAAAAACGATCTCTTCTACAAGTGTTTTCTGCACAGCACAGAATCAGTCACCCAGGAAAACACCCCAAAGACTTAAAGACTCAGTGCAGTGACAATATATGATCACAGAAATAATTTCTACATTTCTAGGGACCCAGAACCTTTAATGGCAATGCTTGACAAGACAGAGTTAGACATTTCCAGGCTCCACATTTAGGCAACATGAAAGGTGGGACTCATTTGCCTGCACACAGGTGTCTAGCACCAGATGAAGTGCCCTAGGTCATCCTGGATCTGATCCATCTGATAACTCTTGATGCCCCAGAAGGACACAAGGCTCCATGTTGATGTTTCAGGCACTAGAAGGTGTCGTTAGTGTGTGGGTAATTGAATGAAGCTCAAAGTTAAAAGAAAAAATATGCTGCTTTTAGCTTTTAAAAGATATTTGGAAGAATGCATATCATAACAGATGATACACTTTCCCTCTGCAGTACTAAAACCTACTGAAAAAACTCTACATGATGCTTAGTAACCCAATATTGTTAGGATTAGTTTGCAGTCATGTTTTCTCATTTGAACTCATCACAACGATGCCTGACCATTCCTGTGGAGCTCTTGCTGTTTCACTGTCATAGCTGTGAGTTGGATACACTGCTAGAGACGAACACAGTGCTGTACAGTGAGAAAAGTTGTTGGCATGAAAAGTTTATATCAATGGATGCCCAGAACACCCTAGGACACATGCACACATTTTCATGCTGTAGAGTGTCCATGATTTTGCTAGAGTTCCGAGTAGATCCTATGGACAGTTCATCAATTACAGGGCTTGGATCCAGCTTGAGAAAATGGTAATGTTATACCCTTGAGGCTCAGGGAAGTGAAAGCAGTGAACATAATAAAGCACTTTTTTTTTTTTTTTTGCGTTAGTAAAAACACATCTGGAAGGATTTATTTATTTTTTTAATGAATTTTTTATTTTTAGAGGAGAAAACTAGCATTTATAGGTTTCAAAAACTGTGTTTTCAGAAGGGAGTTATACGAGGAGATACTGGAGGCACTGCAGACAGGCGTTGGAGGGGTCTGAGAATATGGATCCACACGTAATTTCCTGCAATATTTCAGTTATCAGCAGAGTCAAAATCGGCCTTCACAGGTAAGTGGTCAGATTCAGCTCTGAGATCACTCCGGTCACACCAAGAATGGATTGAGCTTTATGAATTTTGTTCTAACGCCAGGTTTCTATTCTATTCTGAGACTAGACGCGCATTCAGATAGCAGTGAAGACGAGCAGAAAGACCCGTGTGCAAGCCCTCTTTTACCTCACTTTTGCATACCGTAAGCTTACGTATTCCATTGCTAATTTAATTAGCAATCACCCTCTTCAGTGAAACCCCTCATCTCCAGGAGATTTTGTCCCATTTCCCGTCGTGAGGGTTCGTAGCGCTGCCG